TAAATAAATGTTCAGAAATATGGCATCCAAGTACTATTATGCAGTAGCAAAAGGCCGTAAACCTGGAGTTTACAATAGCTGGTAATGCATTTTCACATTTACAATAGTTTCGTATTGTTTTAAATCTGTTTCATAAGTATTTTGCCATTCTCTTTGTTAAATAAGGGATGAATGTCAAAGACAAGTACATTGCTTCTCTGGATCTGTGTTCAAAAAGTTTAAAACAGAAAAAGAAGCACATAACTTTATTCAGCAAAACACAGAAACAAGTACAAGCTATGATATGAAAAGCCCATCACATGTAACATTTAAAAGGTATAATTATTTTGATGTCTTATAAAGGTATAACTATTATATATGATGATGCAAAGACACATATTTTAACTGGAAATTAATTTTAGGCCACAAGTAGAAAGATCAAACAAGTCAAAAAAATTAAAAGTAATAGATTTAGAAGAGTGTTCAAAGCATAAAGTAAGTATAGTCTTGCGCGTGATTTGTACAGTACTTAAAAGGATTATCACATATTTAAATTATTATGTTATTAATTTTTTAGGAAACAAATGGAAACTATAATATTGATTGCAATGATTATGTGGATGTATATACAGATGGTGCATGCAGTTCAAATGGATATAAAAATGCAAAGGCTGGTATAGGTGTTTGGTTTGGCGATAATCATCCTCTGTATATTGCAATACATCTTTCAATTAATGTTCACTATAATGTTCAATGTAAGGGTATTGTTCAAAAATATTTGTTGTAGAAACGTGTCAAGAGCAGTTGTTGGCCGGGCAACTAATAATGTGGCTGAAATTCAAGCTATAATTGCAGCTGTTAAACAAGCAAAAAAAGCAGGCATTAAGAATTTGAGGATTAATACAGACTCCCAGTTTGTCATTTCCTGTATAAATAATTGGATGCCGAAATGGAAAACTAATGGATGGGTCACTTCAAACAATATGCCTGTTATAAACAAGGTTGAACTGTTAGAAATGGAGGAGGCTTTGAAATCTTTGAATGTGACTTGGGTAATAATACGTAATTATCGTAATTCTGTGTTTTATAAATCTTTCTGTGTATTATAATGTTTTATGTCTGTTATATTAGACTTCAATATTTCAGAATCACGTTAATGGTCATGTTGGAATTTATGGTAATGAAATGGCTGATCAATTAGCACGGGAAGGATGTTTAAAATAAAAAATATTTATGTAAACATTTTTATACATTATTTAATGAAGAGTTCTTAATTATTTATGATATTTTTCAAATACAACGCATCATATCTTTATTATTATTCTACTTATTGTTATAAAATAACGTAGATTTGATGAAAAATAATATAAAATCACTGAGGTGTTTGTAACATTAACTTGTGGCTATGTCAGATATTTCTTCTCCATTATCAGCACTTTGATTCTCTGTTGATCGAGGGCATATTTGTTTCAGAAGGATGTATATATCCTCTGGTGATATTTGGAGTGTCAATAGTTCCAATATAATACTAAAAGAATAATTTTAATAAAGTATAATGATTTCGTCAATAAAATTAAGATGTAATCTTTTAAATTTGTTTATTTTTTACTATTAAGTATCATACTTGTTACATTTAAGTAAATACATAATGCATTTAATACGAACATTTATGTTCTAACTCGTATAAATTTACCGATAAACTCCTGGAACTGCCGAAATCCCTGCCAATTCTGCTAGTGCTGTCAATTCAGCTTGATGAGCTTGTGGAAATGTCATTCTAACAACCAAAGATTTGTATACTAGAAATAATAAATATTCAACGTACAATTATTATACTAAAATTTTCTGTACTAGTTAATATCGGTCATTCAGATACAAAGTAGAATAACTCTGTAATATAAAAACACATAGACAAAGTATAAATATAAACACAGCGAGGCATATATCTCACTTATTGTTCTAGTTGGAATTAAGAGGCGTTCAGAGAGCAGCACGTGACATATGGTTATCCTTGTCTCACATTTAATGCTTTCCTTGTCTACAGTGATGCTGTCATCTCTGAGTTCTGATTGGAACTAAAAGGATAAAAATGAAAAATCTGAGGTGATAGCACATTGCCTTTCCAGCTTAATAGTTTCAAACGAGCCCGATAGATGACAATACAGACCTGTTCGCAGACAAGAAAAACAACAGTGTGCGACAAGGACGGACAAGTATACACAAAGCAACAGTATATGACAAAGATAGCAATAGATTTTAGTTCTACCATGTTACCGCTACGCGATGCTAGCATTTCAGTATCCATAATGCGAGCAAAGTGTTATTGCAGAAAAAACTAATAAGGAAGAGTAATTTTCGAACTTTTATAGTTTTCGCATGTCTTTCCTTCTTACATTTACCTCACGGAATTCATAAATAAATATTTACAAATTCTAGTTGATGATTGGATTCTCGTTTCAGTAATATTTAATATCACGTAAAACTAGATTATATTTAAATATCCATCTGTAAATTATCTGTAACTTTTTCTGCTGGATTTAATTTCGAAATCATTGTCACGTTATGATTCGTTTTTACGGAATATCTATTAAAAAATTATGAAATAAATTAACTTGCAATGTATGAGAACGTATTATAATAAGATTAATTTCAAATAATAAAATATTCTATTTTAATCTTTAAAAGTATTTTTATTTAGAAAATTGCTAAACAAATGTTGACTTATAAATGTTAGAGGAAAAAGGTAGCTTCTTGTATTTTTGAAATCATTGCTAAACTTTCGCAGAAATAAAATATAAAATCTTGAGAGTATAATTTTCAATATTTCACATGTTTGTATAAGACGGCTGAAAACGTCATTATAAAAACTTTGAAGAATAAAAAATGAAGATATTAACATTTACGAAATAAGTATCGAAGAGAAGTTTTGTTAGAGAAAAATCCAAATGAATCTCGCTGCTTTTATTTATTAATAAAAAGGACCGGAAAGTGATGGACTGCTTTTATTCATTAATAAAAAGGACCGGAAAGTGATGGACTTTCATGGCATGAGATTTTACAGAAATAATAAAAATACATGGAAGTACGATTAAAAACTTTATTTTGGTTTGTTTCATAATTGGGAAAAATATATATAATGTTGTGTACCTGTAGGAACTTTGGACTACAGATTATGGGACAATTGTCGTTTAGGTAACATGCTAATTTTTAAAAAAAAAGAGAGAGAGAGAGAACAAAGAAAAAATAAACCCAAAACGTGTTAAATATGTTACCAACGAACAAGTCGCGAGAAAAAAGAAAAAAAAAAAGAAGAAAGAAATAGCTTAAATCTATACTAAGGCTAACTTCATTAAATATAATCGATTTAACATTGTTAAATCTAAATTTATACGTTGGTAACAAACGTAGTACAAAATATGATACTTGATACGCAGGTGCTTCTCGAAAATGAACGATAAGACATATGAGAAGGCTGAAGTAGCTTCGTGAATATGCGCATCGCACTCTAAATTAGCAAATGCGACGTTATTCCGATGTAACGAATAAGGCGTAATTAGCTTCTTAGACGAAAAATGAAAGAAACGAGAAAAACAAAGAGAACGAGGTTGTAAGAACACTCGATTTTGTTCAACACAAAGCTCACCACGAAACGAATCTTACGCATGGCACACGGTTAACCAACTTCTTGAAATTTGACGCTGAATAACCCTGCTAGCATGTGTATAAAATTATGTACAACATCGCGAGATACGAGTTTTGTGCTTTGTTCCTCGTTACAAGCGTACGTGCCAGATATTCCCGACTTGCTTTCATTTTTTTTTCTCTTGTTTGGAAAACGAAAAATTGAGAAATTCTCGACCTACGTACGTTCCCTGACTGTACGCCATGCGTCGGTTACAAACAAAAAAACAAAAAAAAAAGAAAAAAAAATCTGACATAAGATGTTACGAATGTTTATTAACCAATGTGGGCAATTCCTATTACATTAGGAATCCCACGAGGTTTGTCCTTTGGAAGATATATATTAAATGCTTAATTTCTCAGCAGGGTTAATATTCTCTAATTGTCTTGGTGAAGACTCACGATCGTTCAGTACTGATAGCGAATAAAAGCAACGCGGTGATTACAGTGAAGCAACGATCGTTTTAACACGAATCCTAATCTTCCCTTGTCGAAGTGCCTAAAGTCTCAAGTTCTTTTTCTCTCGTCGTAAATACTTATTTTCCATGAGAAGCGCCATCAATTTGGCAATTCTCCTTTCTTCATGAAATAGAACTTATTCTTTACAGATTAAACATATTTAGAAAGTCCTTAAAAATATACGCTGCTCTCTTAACGGTTTTTTTTTCCATTCCTTTCATCGCATACCCCAAAACGCATTTATATTCTTGGCGGTTGTTTTCTTTTTCTTTTCTTTTTTTGACTAGATTCATTCATAGTTAAAAGGGTATTTAACCTGATAATACGATTAGATTAATATATGCTCGCCCCTCTTAACCAGAACACACTTCCGAATGCTCGTCCCAAGCAGCAACCTAAAATTATTAATTTTGTCAGTAATACAATTGAATCGTTATTGAAGATTCTTCGTTTTTTCTTAACAAAAGACGATCTTACTTGGCATTCGCGACTACAATACCATTGATGACCACAGCCAGCACATACGAACTGTGCTACACGTTCGTGACATCCTTGGCATCGTGGAGGACTATCTCTATCCTCTCTGGCATCCCTACCGCCTGAAGAAATACGAGTCTCCCTATCCTCGATTACTGCCGACTCCTCTTCAACGTCCTCCTATAAGCGGAAATATTGAAAAACATATTTGTACGTATTTCTAGAAACTAAAAATATCGCACGAATAAAATAAAGTGAAAATATTCGAACACTTACAACGTGAGATTGAACCGGAGTGTTGATCACCGGTGTTATCGTTATTTCAGTTCGAGCCTAAAAGTACATGATATTAGCATCGTTATAATACATTAGGCCAATCTATGTGACACGAATGATAGGGTTTTGACTTGTGGAAAAATGAAATACCTTGGAAGAAGATAGGAGATCACTGATAGAAACTGGATTGGAGCCTTGATATGTCTGCAAAAGGTGCTGGGTTGCCGCACTTTGTTGCGGCATAGACGCGGCTGTGGGTGCATTCCTTTCTCTTTCAGGAGCTGTGAGTAATCTAGCTAAAGTAGGTGAAAATGTAGTGGGTCTTGGAGATTGTGACTTTGTGAGAATTCCGTGAAGCAATGAACCGCTCTGCTGAGGTGGGGTATTTTGCGGTGCTGGGGATGGCGCGACAGGATGAAGCGTCACATCCGGATAATTTTGAGGCGTTTTTACGGGTTCACCTGTTCAACAGTTTTGCAATTATTCACTTGATACTCGAAATTGATTAAAGTGAGAGATTTCGTTACGTTTTGCACGCAAGGTTCACGTACCTTGCTGTTGGCTCAGTTTGGCAAACTGCACGAGTACATCTTTAAAGCTCATAGAATTGTTCGGATCGACTGTGTTTGAGTTGCTTTTACAGGAATCTGTACTAGATGGCCTCGAATCGACATTGTGACCCGTCTCGACCATGGCTCCACCAGCTCCGAGGCCGACGTTCACCGAATTTCTCATTCTTCGGCCTCTGCAACCAATCGATAAAGTGATTTTTATTATTTAATTTTTATTACAATAAAGAATTTTCTATTCCAGAAAATTTGTTCAGAAATCCCTACAACACAACACTGTACATTTCTCTGATTCACACTAAACGCATCCTCCTGCTGTGCTTACCTGCGCGGTACCGTTTCGGGATGCCTCAGTCTGTAATCAGCGATAATAGATCTAACGTCGACGATGGCCCCTTGTCGACCTTCACCTATTTGTCTGTTCTCTGGACTGAGCGCTTCTGTCTGCTTCCGACCGTTCTCTCCTCTCTCTTGTTTAGGTGGTGTCGACTGACGTTGCGACGTCTGTTTCGCGCTCTTCTCCCTCTTGAAAGCTGGCGAATCCTGAGAACTTTCTTCAGGCAGATCCTCCTTGGAGCTGAAGCTCAATTTCTCTTTGGACACGGGGGTAGTGTTGCCGCTGCTTTCCCACTCGGGCCCTAGTGTCAAACTGGCCGGTGGCAACGTGTCTGCCAACTGTCCATTGCCCTCCATGAATCCCATAACTTGCCTCCGTCTCTCAATTCTCAGGTACGCTTCCTCCTTCAACTTTCTCATGCTCAGGATCTCGTTCCATTCCATTTCTTTGGCACGTGCTAACTCGTCTAAGGCCTGTTTGCAAACAATAGAAAATGGAATATTATCCGTATGCTAATATCAGGTACTTGCTAGTCACTGTTCATAATAAACATTTGTTCAATATCCTCCAAATAAACCAAATAAAAATTGAAACTATGCACATATTGACCAGCAATTGATAAGTAATTTTGAAATATGTATATGTGTAAAATTTGGAATTATTTGATATATACATATAGTCTGCTTTTAGTTGTTTTTTTGATTAACGTTTTCAAACAATTATTTAATAAACTATACTATACTATACTATAAAAGCATCCTATAAAAACAGACTATACTATACTATAAAAGCAGACCATACTATACTATAAAAACAGACTATATTATATAGTTTTATATATAAAGTATAGTATAGTATACAATATATACAATATATATAGTATAGTATACTATACAATACTGGTATACTATGCTATAGTATACTATAAAATCAGACTATACTATACATACTACAAAACAGATTATACCATACTATATATACTATACTATAAAAACAGACTATATTATATAGTCTTATATATAAAGTTAGGTTAGTATACAATATATGTAATGTATATAGTATAGTATACTATACAATACTGGTAATGTTATGCTATAGTATACTATAAAAACATATTATAGTACACTATAAAATAGACTATATTTATAATCTGTTTTATAGTATAGTATACTTTATATATATACATATATATACCTGGACTTCAGCTCGAAGTTGATCAGCCCTGGCAGCGAGTTCCTCCGCGGTAACTTTTTCACAGCCGACCAAAGACGAGATATACTGTTCCCTCTGTTCAATGCAGAACTTCTTGGGCGTGGAGTTGCCATTTGACGACAGCTGTCCGTCCGTCAACTTTCGCTTCCTGCCGCCTTCAGTTTCCGATTTCGCGCCGCGCGAGGTCACGGGCTTCTGCTGCATCGTCTCCGCAGCGGAGAGGTTCTTGCCGGTCACATCCGGCTCCGAGTCGCAGAGAGATTCCTTCTTTATCGGCGCTGATCGGAGGCACTCGATGGTGGCCGGTGCGGCGGCGGTCTCCTCCGGAAGTGCCGCCCCGTTCTGCTGATTCTGAGGGACTTTCGGCGAGGCCCTCGACGACTCATCGTCCCGTGACTTCTCCGCTGGGTCGTCCACCTTCTTCCCGTTTCCAGCCGCACCCTCCATCGCGTGCATCTTGTTCAAGCTGCAAGCAAACGTGTTCCCTCCGGTAAACAAACAGTTTCATCCCGCTTCTCGTCGAGCACGCATTATCGTCGCTTTAGCCTTGCGCTAAAACCGTATATCACACACCTAACTGTCCGCGCGTGTTATTTTCATACGTAATTCTTTAACCTTTTCTGTTAGAATTAATAACAGAGTATACGGGATCATTATCAGAATCGTAATAGTATTTCATCTCCGCGAAAAACTGCGTGCTATTTTCACACATAATTCTTTCACCTTTCCTGTAACGTTGTAACGTTATAATTAACATGAGAGCGCGAGGGATTACTCGAGTAATACTCAAGTTCCCGGTATTTATTTGAAATTGAACAAGAGCAGAAATTCGTATCGCGCCTCGACTTTCGAGGATCAATCGGAAACATTCGCCGCGCAACGACGATGACACTGATAAACTGATAAGATCCGCTTTGCAAAGTTTGCGTCAACCTTGCGCAGAAAATAATTGTCATTGAGTCCAAGGACGTTTAATGAAGAAAAAAAAAAAAAAAAAAAGAAAAATATATACGCATCTGCAATATCACGCATAAAAATCGGCCAACGCTGCAATAAGGACTCTCGATTTACTTCAACTTTAGGTTAGGTTAAGTTTAGGTTAGGTCGAGTTGCATAAAGGACTCTCAAGCAACGAATACATTGTGTGTAGGTAAATCAGAGATTTACTTCAGCTTCGTCCAAGAGCATACACACGTTCATACGTTGAACGTACACGTACAAGTACCAATTATTAGTGTTCGAATAATGAATAAATAACATTGAGCTGAAACGCTGCCTATCCGCGAAATATTTGTAACGTTTGCAACCGGGCGCCTCCGATCGATATTCGGACGCGCGGATGAGCGCGTGAAAAGTGGGGTTCGCTCCCACGACGAAGATGACCCACACGGTGGTCTTCGCGTGACGCGTGCACGGGGCCATTCTGCGTTTTACCCTCGGCAAGAGGCAGGCAGGCAGGCAGGCACACGCTTACACGCGGCACTACTAGAATAGAAGGTGACCACACGGTGGGGTTAACGCTTTCGCGCCTCCTATGCACTTCACTGCCTGCACTTCTAGAAGAGAGAAACCGCTCCTACGCCAGGGACATATATTTATTCCCTCTGCGTTTACTTTCGTACTTGTCAAAGAAAAGATTACAGCGAATTAAAATTACTTTCTCTTTAGATCGGAGAGCGCAAG